CCCCAAAACCCCAAAACCCCAAAACCCCAAAACCCCAAAACCCCAAAATTTGCCACCCAGCTTGAAACAAAATATATTTAAATGTATGATTTTTTGTATAATTAATTAACTTATTTAATCACCTTCAGAGAATTTTAGGGATAAATCAGCATGAAACAACAATCTGCAGAAGATATGACCAAGAGGTATTTTGACCTCAAGAAAACCTTTGGAGATATCCACCAAAGAGTCGTCCATCCGGATATTGGAGGAGAAGTAGTAAGCTGCATGGGACTTTCTGAGGAAGAAATTTACCACATCTTTCAACTCTTATACATATATTTTATAGGCAGAAGAAGACACCAAGGAGGATTTACTAGAAGAATTTACCGATTACTTATCCATACTCCCAAAGGAGCTACATAGCAAGCCAGAGGAGAGGAAAGGAGAGTTTTCTGATACATTTGCGCCATATATTGGCATTGTTCCTTTAATTTCTGTCAAAAAGCCTAAGGAGAAAATTGTCCAAAAAGACATATATGCTCAATATAGAAAGAACTACCTCGCTGATTTGACTAAATTGATCGAGTGATATTTTCCGCCATTGAAAGTAATGTTTTTAGACCCACTCCAAGTAACTAAATACGAGACATCGAACTATAAGAAGGTAGACCCAGAGTTCTCAACAATCATCAATATGGAGAACTCGAAGGAGTACAAAATAATGAAGATTTTGGGCAGAATGAATGTGTTCCACATGGCAAAGGCCATTCGGCCTTTGTTTAGCCAAAAATTCTGCACAATAATTGCCTTAACAATCGAACCGATCTATGACCAAAAGCCGAAGGAAGGAAGCTTCATACTGGGGAGAGCTTGTGGGCGTGTGTGTATTGCCACAATGGACAACACCACAAGAGCAGAGTCCTTCCAGACAATTGTGCATGAAGCCATGCATACATTTGGCCTCGGCCATTGTGAAAAATGGAACTGCATAATGAACTGGCTATCTCTCGATCAACACAGATGTTTCCTCTGACTTCCTGATTTGATAAAGATGCAACACTTGTTTGGCTTTGATATTAAAGAGAGATATCTCAAGTTAGCTAAACTATACAAGAGAACTTTAGGCTGGCAGGATGACTACGACTGGGTAAAACAAGCCATTGACAAGATTAACGAAAAGGAGGACTAAACTTTCAATCTTATAAATATCAAAGGGGTTTTGGGGTTTTGGGGTTTTGGGGTTTTGGGG